GGCGAAACAACTAGCCGCTGTGATACAATTGTATAATAATAATAATATTAATGCTGGCCCATGAACAGTTTTTGAGCAGTGTCAGATTTCAGAGGCACAGTGCTTTTCCAGTTTTGGTTTATTTTGGCATGACAGTAGATACTTAGCTGCATTGGGCAATATGTGTACTTATTCACAAATAGATAGGCAGAGCCCAGATGGAAGTAAAACAGTGATCACTTTCATAGCTTCTCCAACCTTCACTGTTGTACCATCAGATTTATAATAGCCAACTGTTATCTGAAGACTCTGCATAGGGCCTGTTACTTTGCCATTTTCTCAATTCTAACTTTTTTTCTTTGAAAAGCAATATAGCACATTGTTTTCTATAAAAGAAATACAGAATGAGAAGAAGGGTATGTCCCATTCACCTGGATGCATGTACATTTAGAATAGTATTTAGTCCTTTCCTTTGCTAGTTTTTAAAAGTCAATAGACAATACAGTTGTTAATCTGTAGAATCAACTTAAGAATAAGGTTGTTTTGTTATTTTTCCTTAACAAAAAGAGGCACTACTCACTATTTTGCTAGATCTATTTACAGGTCCAAATCTCTAGGCAGATAATGCCTCAGGCAACTATCACTACAAAAAGACTCATTTCTAAAGTTATAAGATCTTATATGAACTGTAATCCTTCCACTGTAACAGTCCTACAATAGGCATTCAGGTGAAATACAACTTGCAGTCCCCTTGGGCTTTAGAGAGTGGTTACATGGAAATTCAAATAGTAGCTTTAAAAGTAAATTTCATTCACATGTAAGATGACCCTACTGATTTTTTTCCCTTGCTAACCAACAATTAAACTTAAATAGTTAAAACCATGCAATACATTCCTCTCCTTTGCAGAACTAGGAAGGAAAAATAAAAATATTTCATCAAAATTTCATGAAAAAGGAGAATATAAATTTTAAAAAACAGAAAAGAAAAAATATCCCACCCAAACATGGCACAAATAGCAAAACTCAAAACAAAGAAATTCCAGCTGTTCTGCTGGGAAGACGAAAATTTGCTTTTATGTTTAAGTGAAACACCAATTTTTCTCATTTTAATTAATGAAGCAATTTGAGAAGCATTTATTGGCTAATGAAACTGAGTAGAACCTATTGAATATGATTTTTCACAAATCAGCTGTTATGCTATACTGGTAACAAATCACTTGAATGTCTACTAGGTGGCATCTAAAGTAATGAAATAGGATTTCCAGGGAATGATTTTTTTTAAAAAAAACCTATCACTTGGCAGTACTTTTATTAGGATCAATACATATATTTTTAAATATGTGGATAAACTTCCTAGTTTACTAAACCCTTTTAGCTGGCCAGATGCTAAAGGAGGAAATAGGAAAAAAAGTGCAAAAAATTTGCTTACTTCAATAGCACTAAGTCTTAACCTTAAATATTGGATCTAGGTTTACACCCTGGGCTAATTGATTTGGATTTAGTCATGGTTTGTTATATAAATTTGCACTACATTTATGAAACATGGATTACAAGTCACAGAGGGAGAATTCACACAATATAGTAAGCCAAAATTAAACAAAAACATATTATGGCTTTGTACAATTTGGGGACTTATGCATCTGGAGCAAAGCACATTGGCATCACATGTACTTCAATGTAACCATACAAACAGTGCAAATTGTGTAATTTGTATCAGTCCAAAATTTGAGTTGTATGATGATGGCAAATATTATACAGCAATTTGCATGATGGTCTCATGGCATAAATGTTAATACTTGCTCCCCCCCAGACACATACACAGATGGCCATGTTTGTGAATCCAGTTTGAGAGCAATTTCTCTGTGGGATTCAAGTTTCCATTTTTAAAAGGTTATCGAATAAAGACAAAGGGTCAATCTCACCACTGAAAACACTCATTTTCTGAGATTCATTTTCAGTCTTTTGAGAAAGCACCAATCTCTTGTTGAGCAAAGGGTAGAGGAAAAATCTAGCAATCTTGTAGGAGCTATGTAGTTAGGGTTGTCCAGCCAGAAATGGAACGCAATGCAGTGTAACCAGATATAATTCTTACACCATAGCAGATGCATACAGGATCATAGCTTTAAGATGAAATCTAAACATATTTGCTCAGAAATTAAGAACACTGACATTTTCATAACATGGTTGCCTCCAGAATCTGAACTGACTTAACTCCAAAACAATTTCAGCCAGATTTAGTTGAACTGCCACATGCATTAGGACTATTTTCTTTTGTTTGTTTGTTTTTTAAATATATACATAAATTCAAAATCGTCTAGCAAGGCCTGTTCCGTTTATACTTAGGTTACAACCCAGTTACAGTATTTATCACAGCTATAACACTTTTAGCACACCACATAGAGGCTATTAGTTTTATTTATTTTACGCTAGCAAACCTAGTTAAACCAAGAGAACGATTCTGTCAAGATTGCCCGTAGATGTATATACCTGGGGTGAGGGGGATTATTATTATTTTTTTAAAAAAACCCTTAATTCAACATTTCCTTCCAACCGGGCGCTTATTTTGTAACTCTACTTGTCAGTTAAGTACTCTTTCAGCGCGGTGATAGTTTCAGTGTTAGGCACACAATAGGCTTTATTTTCTCAGGTGCCCTATATTTCAAACTGGAACTTCCGCACCAAAAATTAAAAAAAACCACTCAGCGCTCTTTTTGTTTGGCTTCCATACACACACACTCCACCCGCTTCCCCCTTCTCCGATTGCCCTGTATTCTAAAATACGGTACAATTGTTGCGTCTTTTAATGGGAATTTTAGCGCGCTGCCGCCGTCGGCGAAGGGCAGAATCTTTTTTCGAGTACGCTCGGAGATCGACTAAACTTCCCTGGCCGGAGCCCAGCGCCTAGTACGGTTTGGCTCAAAGGGCAGTCGCAGTTGCCCTTAACAGGTGGTCAGAGCAGGAGGCGGTTCAACAGGTGCAGCTTCGCTGCTATGAAGTCATGGGCCGAGCTGCACCTGTGGCGTTTCCCAGCCGATGCTGAGGCAGCGGGGAAACTGCCTTCTAGCAAAGCTAAAGCGCTGCTTTAGGACAGATGTTGTTGTTCAACCTCGCCTGGAGGGCTAGCCACCTCACGAGCTTGAAACCAGTCACAGGTGAGAAAGCAGGGACTCGGCCCTCGGGCCACCCGCGATCTCAAGCTTGGGAGACCGCATGTTTGTCAACTGGTGAAGCGCTGGCTGGAATGAAAAGCAGACCTCGCGGAAACCCGAGCGGGATCCGGGCACCTGGCTTTTGTATGTACGTGTCTGGCCGCCTCAAGGAAAAAGTGTGCTTGGGATTCCTTTTCGAATGCCGCGGAGAAAATTAGGAAACGTAACGCCCTCCTCACATCCTCCACTTCTTCTTTTTTTAAATAAAAAAGCTCCTTCTTCTCTCTTCTTTCTTCTCTTCCCTTTCCCAACACATAAGCATCAAAGCGCAGCCACGGCGGACAGGAAACCGGAGCTTGAATCTTAACGCTCTTACAGCTGAGGCTGAGAGAGCGCGAGAGAGCAGGAACGTCTTCCTGAGAGCGGGCGGCAGGAGGCGCTGGCGGGTCCGCTCTAACGGGTCTATGATGGGCTCCCTGCCGAAATGAGTCCCTCATTCCCGCGGCCGAGGCGCTAAGAAACGGAGGCGCGCCGAGCGAGCGCTTCACAGCTCCTCCTTTCGCGGCTCAGCAAAGTAACTCCGATGGAGTAAGAGTGCAGCCGCGATCGCACCAGCCACCAGCGCCTGGCTTGAGCTTTTGCGCCCGGAAGGGGCGGGGAGGGTGGGGGGGAAAGAAGATCATCGCCTCACCGCCAGCAAAGAAGAGAAAGGGAAAAAAAACTGTTGCCTTTCCCTTCTTTCTTTCCTTCCTTTCCCGACCAGGCAACAGGAGACTCCGGGAAGGCGAGAGGTTTCCCTCTCGGTTCTGGGCAGGGACCGCCTGAGCAAGAGACTCCTGGTATAAAGTTATCCAAAGTCGCGATGGCCCCGGAGGCTGGAGCCCTCGGCTTACTGGCGGCGATCGTCTCCTTCGTCGCGCCCTCGGCTGCCTTCCTGGGAGTAGCTCGTGGCCAGTTCTCGGCAGGTAAGGACTTGCTCCGTGCCATAGGCGTCCCGTTTCTATGGGGGGAAGAAAGGGGACCGCCTCCTCCTATGCCTCTCTTGGCTTCTCCCGCTGGGTGCCCGGGAAACCTTTGGGGTTCGAAGAGCTCCCCACCGGTTGGAAGAGAGGGGAGGTGGTGGAGGTTGTACCGAGGAAAGGGTCCCAATAGAGAAGGGGGGGTCTTCTTTCCCGGATGATTCCGCCACATTCCTCAGATTCGGGAAGGGGGCTGTCCGGCAGCCTCATGCTTGCAACGAAGAGGTCCCCCCCTTCCTCGAAAAAGGGTCGCCGTTCGGGGCTTTTCCCTCTTGAGTAGCTTCGGAGGTTGGAGGAAGCGGAACGCTGCGGTGCCTTCCTTCCAAGAATCTCACCTTCGGCACCTTGACGCGTTCGGGAGGGGGAAAGGGACCCTTGGAAAAGCGTGGTCGACTTTCGTTCGCCCTTTCCTCAAATCGCTCTGGCTGACACTGGCGGCTTCGGGATGGGGCTCTTTGTGTAAAAAAAAAATCACTGTGGAGTTTTTGCATTTTGGAACTGGACGGAGGAGGGGGGAAAGGGAAGAGCCATAGAGTTTGAAGGTGGCCCATTAGATTCTCGAATCCGACCCGCTGCTCTCGGAGCAGAAATCCACCAGGCTTCCCAGAGGCGGCACATATTCGGCTTCTCACGCCAATCGTCGACCTCTCGCCTGGTCAGTTGCCCAGATCCTGTTGACATAGCCTTGGCTGGTTACGTTTCGGAATGTCTCCTCGCCTTTGTTAGTAGAGATGGGGGCGCTTTGGGAGGAGACGACGACTGATTTGTGCGTGGTCGCGACACACACACACACACACACACAAACAGAGAGAGAGAGAGAGAGAGAGAGAGAGAGAGAGAGAGAGAGAGAGAGAGAGGGAGAGGGAGGGAGGCACAAAAGGAATCCTCTTAAGTTTTTCCGGAAGCTTTCTCTAACTTCTTTGTATCTAAACTGGAAAGAAGCCCGAGGAGGAACAACTCTGCTGTTAACACTCAGTGTAGCTTTGCTTTGTATAAACTGAGTTTTGAAGGGAAGGTACGAGTGCTTCAAGTCACCGTCTTACCGTCCCCTCCTCGGGTCGTTTTAGCAGCCCCTTTCCCTTTCAGAGGAAGGGAGAAACAGCCGTGAAAGAGTTAATACTTTGGCGCGGTTGTCAGGCTTTTTTTTTTCTAAAGCAAACAAGCTGCACCCAACAGCGACGGGCCGATTCCTCCTTTCTTCTGTTGACTTTACTGCCGGGCTAACTTTTGGCCCGAGGGAGGTGATCTCGGGGAAGCGACTTCCCGCGGGTAGAATGGCTTTTGGACGCGCAGGCTCCCCCTGCGCAGACGTTCAGAACAACTTGGCATGTGTTCTGGTTGGCGAGCGCCTTTCAGCCTCGCCTTTGTTTCTGGAAAAAAAAAAAAGGTGATTAAGCGCCAAGGAGAAAGTCATCTGAAGGCTTTGGGGTGGTTGGAGGGGGGGGGGGAGAACAGGAATGTAAGTTGACAGCTACAGAACGAAATGCTGAAAGTCCCAAAAAAACCTGCTTGCCCAGTTCAAGGGATGGTGCCTATTATATACATCCCAGAAACGGTGCTGGCTGTAACCGTATCCTTTTGTCTGGACGGAAAAGCAGCCGTTCGATTTTAGTACTCGTAAAAAAGAACACATTTGCAAGTTTCCTCCCCAATACAGATTCATTTTAGAACCTACTGAGAGTGTTTGACCTCTGACACTCTTCCTTGTGTTTTGTATGTAAGATCAGAGAAACAGGCTGTCCTAATGTGCAGTCTTTTCTGTAGACAGAAAGTTGGAGATGACAGGATTCTTATGCCACTCAACTCCATTGATTTCAAGGGAGCTTATTTCTGAGTTAGGTTTATTGTGTCTAATAAACACAAGCAATGTTTTATAAATTGAATTTTGAAATAAGTTTTCTCCCTCCCAAATGTTTGCAAGGACTGAAATCCCGATACAAAGTTTTGAAACGGTTGGCTCTGGATTGCTATGTTGGGAAGATATTTATGGAGTGTGTTTTTAACAAATATAAATAAAAGATCTTATGCACATTTTGTCAATATTCTGGTAACATTTGAGCTATTTCCATTCTATTAAAAAAAGCCCACAATGCAAAACTTTTTTTTTTTAGTGCCAGTAGTTTTGTTGTGTTATATTCAGTCAAAGACAAAGGGAGAATGTATTCTGCATTTGCCTTAAAGTTACATGCTTTCTTTATCTTACTTGCTATGCTCAATCGCCTACCGTTTTTAATCTGATCATTTAATCAGGCAATTTAATTTTTTTTTAGATATATCCCTTTCAATGCAGTAAAATCTGTGGTGTGTATGGCTAGCTTTCATTTCCACATTCTGTTGCTGCTCTTTGTATTTCAGTTCTTGTTTTCTTACATACTCTTTCCCAAAGGAAAGTTATGATAACTGCATATTCTACAAGTATATCATTCTTTGTAGCTTAGAATGTAGAATAAGGGACCAAGGTTACATCAGTATCATGGAATTTTATTAGGTGTGGTGACAGGAGGAAAACAGACACACACACAAATGAAAGGATTCTTAGTGGGTGATTCACAGACCACCTGCGATAGGACAGGAATTAAATTAACTGCCAGCAGCCTCTTGAACTGTCCTATTTTTTAAAAGAATAGATCACTACAATAAATTGGACAGATTTTTCTGGTATTGCTTGACTCTCAGTATTAAACACTATCTAACCTTGATTTCATATATCTGACAATCAGATTGAAATGCTGTCAGCTGGCCATTTATTAATACAGACTTCTAAGTTTGAAGAAAAAGATACGATTTTGAGAGATGCCACAAACTGCAGCAGTGCAAGACTAGGTTTTTCTTGAGTTTAGGATATACAGCATAATTTGAGCTGAAGAAACCCTCTATAATTTTGTGTCATGTATTTTCTTCAATTTTGTTATACATATTGTTAAAAAATGGGCTGATGTCTCAAACCAAAGACCTAGGGTTGCTGTAAATCAATTCAGGGAAACAATTATTTATCTAATAAATATGGAACAAAAGACAATAAAACACAACAGGATTCCCTTTTTATTCCAACTTTGTTATTTAATCAAAAATTATCCTCAATATTGTCTTGAATAGACAATTGGATAAGCGACGTATAAATATACCTAGCGTTGTGTATGATTATGAAAATGTAAATATACATTTGTCATGAAGTTTTTACATAGTAATTCCCTTCATCTGATTATAAGGAGTTCATTCTCATTCTTGTCTAGAGCTCTGTGTTTAAATTTATCAGATTCCGTGTAAATGTTGACTGTCCTGATCATCATTTAATTAACATTTTTAATAATGTCAGCAATGCCTTCAGTAGCTCAACGATGTGAGCACTTTAATTGAAATTGTATTATAGTCTTTAGTTTAATTCCTGAATCATTTGTTGGCATAGAAGCAATATTATTCAGAAGTAGCATAAAAACATAATACTGCTTTTTAAAAATTAGATTGTGTAGGAGACTGTATGGGTTCTGGCCCTAAATATAGTTCACAAGATTCTGTGAAATTGGCCCTTTTCCAAATGACTTTCTCCCGTCATCAGTTTCTCTTCAGAGATATTTAGTGTGAATAAAAAGGTAAAGCTTCCCTGTGTCTTTTACTCCTAGTTGTATCTGACTTTAGGGGGCAGTGCTTATCTCAGTTTCAAGGCCATTGAGCCAGCGAACACATTTCCGTGGTCATGTGGCCAGCATGATATCATGGAGCCATGTTACCTCCCCACCAAAGTGGTACCTATTTATCTATCTGCATTTGCACACTTTCGAAATGATAGGTTGCACAGTGCTTGGGTCTCCAACATCGGCTGTTGGCTTTCCAGCTGACAAGCCCAATGTCTTAACTGCTGAGCCATTGTATGAGTACAGACAAGAAATTAGAGATAAGGCAAGATGAAATGGTACCGATTACTGGGATTGTCAGAGAACAGGGCCACTATCTAACAGGAGAGGAGAAAACTTTAAAATGGGAAAATATTTGAACGTGATCTTTTTTTCCTGTGCATTATTCACCTAGCCTTCCATCTAGATAGGTGGTATCAATTAACAGGTAGAAATTCCACCTCAAGAATGTTCTTCAAAATTCCAGCTGTTCATTATCCTGCGTTACGCATTTGCTAACTGTAATGTAATATTCAATGACCATTGATCATACTCAATTCTTTGGTTTTGGAAAGATTCTATCCATAATGTTTTTGTCTTGGAGTTATTTTGGATACTCAAAATAACCTGTTTCACTTGTTGGTATATACTATTCTCTCTTGAGAAGAATATAGCTGAACTTGATGAGTGATTCATGGTTTGAAAATAGATTTTACAGTCATTATTGTATGTTAGATCTATCCTATATGATTTATATATACATGATCCAAAGCACCATAGACGTTGGTGGAGGGATGGCTTATTCTTTTAATTGGTGGAAATGAAAGATCATTGCTGTTCTTTGGGGACAAGTTTCTCACTTTTATTATATTTTTGTCAAACTTTTTCACTGAGAAATAGTATTTCCCAGGTGGATTCTTAGAATATTTTGAAGTGGGCACTGAAGGGAATAATTATATAAAGTCTTCGAATCTCCAAATAACAGCTTGGTCAATATCAAGAAAATCCATGTACTGAATTAGCACAATTTAATATTCCGTCTTAATAAAACTGATCAAGATACCAGAAAATATGTAAAATAATACCCTTAAAAATCTTACCATATGTGAAAGAACTTACTCCAGAACCAATCTCTTATTAGTAATGTAGTTTTTTTTACTAATTAATCTGAAACCAGACACAATAGTAGATTTTAAATAAGTGTAAAACACATATAATTCTACCGGTAATTTTACTGGGGAAAGTGAGTTTAATTAGAAACAATATGATCTAGTTTGGCAAGTTCTAATATAGGATTTTCTAAGCAAATAAAACTTAAGACAATTGAAATCTGGT